GGTTTCGGTAAGGGGTTCAGAAAGTACGCAATATTGTTCAGTAGGAAAAAATGTCTTGCATGGACGAAATTCGAAACGCCTGGAAAATGTTTTGCATGGACGAAAGTCGAAACGCCTGGTCACCTTCCACAGTACTTTGTCTCCACAATGCATCTGCAATTCATCCTCATCAGCGGTTATCACGTGACATTTACTGTTACATGCAACAAAACGCCCATGAATAGGAATTGTTGACAGAATGCCTTCCCTAGTTGTATCCAAAATGATGACGTAACTTGTGATTCCGTTGCAGGCCACTCGTTCTTCTGATATGGGGATTACTTTAGTGATGTCCTCTAAGCCAGTCCAACTTCGGATGCACTCAGACAGCTCAGGATTGCACAGCTCAAGGGTGTCGCGACTGGTTTGCAACAGAACACCTTCTCTTACAGCTACAAGATTATATTCAACAAACAATTCCGTGACAAAATATTTTTTCCCAGGTTTGAACAAACCACTTGAAATGTCCCAACCCATAAGTATAATTCTTTGACTTCGGTTTGGTTTAGTGAGAACAAACAGCGTGTCACCATTCAATGATAATACGACGTTCAACACAGTCGATGTAGTCTTAAAAACTTCTCTTTCGACTTTCGTCAGTTCATCAAGCTGTAACATCTCTATGATTTCACTCCTTGAAGCAACTCTCAATACAGATCGGTTATTCAGCACAAAAGCAAGTCCGGGTCTCTAGGGTTGCATGGGATCTCTTTTCAAAGGGAAGCTAAAAGGATCTCCTAATAAAAATCCGGTCTCACTACACAATTCAAATTCCCACGGCTGGTAAGACAAATGAGGTAAAACATCTAACGAAAAGTCGCCGTCATTTACCATGTTGACGTCTAAACGAAAGAGATCGCACAAGGCACTGTTGAAAGCCAAGCAATAAAGGCATCGACAGTCAGGGGAGAACCTTATCATTCCGCATACTTTTGGAATAGTTCTCTGTGCCACAGTTCTATAACCATCCATTACGTCAAGCAAACCAATCGAACCAGAAATGTCAGAAATTGCTAGCAGTCTTCCATCGCGAGACAAAGCAAAGGACACAATATCGTCATTCCATGTAAAACGATTTATCTCTGAACCATCTGTCAGACTCTACATGATAATGGATTTACCATCGCTGGGGGAATTAGTTAGCATCCTGATCTTGTCTGCAGAAATTGAACAAACATAGAAACGGCACTCGCTCGAAAGAAAAAGAGGTTTCAGGTCCCCGTCAAACGTATAGGCATGGCTGAGGATTCCTGGTAAGACAAGGTCCTCTGTAGGATGAAACACTACTGAGCGGTATAATGACCTGGCATGATATGACAGGACTGGTCTATATGGTTCATAGACATCATCATCATCAGCAGCAGCACACAGGAGTCTATTTTTTCCTACGTACAAGTAGTGATATTTCTTTACCTCGACACCTCGGGTCCATTGCTGCTTTCCAGTATGGAGCGACCATAGCTGGATCTCGTTATTTACACATTCGCACACCATGTAGTCCAACCGCCGTGAAACATCAAAACAAGCTACAGCAGCTGAACATCGAAATTTGGTTTGAACAAGCCCTTGCAGATCCTCTTTGTGCAAGTATTCCATATACGCCATTTCAGAATATCTCGTCTCTAAAAGGTTTGAAGCTTCAGATGAAAGTTCAGGTCCTCCCTCGTTCAACAAGGTTTGAAAGATGGTGTGGGGAAGCTCTTCTAATGTGGCAAAGTGTTTTCTTAACAAGACCAACAAAGTGTTCAGGGCCCTTTGAAGTACTTCGATGCCCGCTTGCTTCTGGACACAAACAATGTCTTCAATCGCCGCTGTGACATTCACACAAAATTTGCATGCACAAGCTCTAAGTCCAACACAAATTTCGTGACAACTTCCTCAAGGCTGCATACTCGCGCATCCTGTAATTGTAGCATGTGTTGAACTCCATGACGCAGAGCGTACTTTGCAGTGTCAGGGAACTGTGCGCCGTCAACGCCTTTTCGTTTCACTTCATCAAGCTCGTCAATGCACAGCTTAGATAGGACTTCATGGCCTTCTGTTTCGTCCAAACTGAACTGGTGCTGTCCGTAGTTAGATTTTCCAATCAACCAGTCTTTGACCGACTTGTGAAAGAAGTGAATGCACTCGTCTTGAACGGGTAGAAGTGCCGAAACACAAGCAATAACCACATTTACTTTTCGCTGAACCAATGATGTCGATTTACCTGGTAGCAACAATTTAGACACAAAACCAAGAGACAATGGCTCTCTTGCAGCTGCGACGCCACTCAGGAAATTGCAAAAGTGGTCCTCCGTGACGTTAAGTTTCTTACAAAGTTCAGTCCCCAGACGCTTGAAATACGAGTGGTAAACAGACGAAATACCTGATGGTAAGATGCTGTCCAGCAGTTCAGGGGTTAAAACTGGCACTTCCTTCTGTATGAAATCTACCAGGTAATGAGCATATAGCATGACTCCTTCTGACTTTTGAACCAGTGCTTGCAAGATGATTTCTCGATGCTCAGATTGCAATAAATGGCTGACTTTCTTTTCAAAGCAAAGGTAAACATCCTTCATGTTCTCTTCAACGTTTGGATCCAGCTGCAAGGGGTGCAAATTCTTTAGAGTTTCTGCTATGTTTCGTTCCGGTCGCGTTGTCACCAGAAATCGAATCCACAGTGGCAGATGTTGAAAGTAATTAGGAACTACGTCTAGTAGGTCATTTCTTCCCTGGAATTCACTTTCGTCTAACCCATCTATGACCACCAGAAAGGTCAAACCAGGGTCGTTCAAGTTGGCTAGAGGTTCCTCAAACAGTACTTCGAACAGATCCTTCACGTCCATGTTGTTTATCTCCACACCCAGATTTCTTGACAACTTTTCGACGAGAGCTTTCTTGTAGTCTGGCAGAAAATCACAGAGCTGACTGGCTAAGGACTGTAGCATCACCTTGGGATTCCTGTGGCGCGCCCTGTCATGCTGACAAAAGTGTCTTCCGGCCAGTTTCCAAGCTTCGTTCCTCTTTTCGTTCCTCTTTTCTCACATGACAGCTGAGATCACAGACTTCCCCATCCCAGGATTTCCACTGATTACCATCACACGATTTGGGCAACTTCTGTCATTTAACCAACTCTCGACTGTGGCAATGATGGACAAACGGGTTCCCTCTGTGTAGCTGTCTGCGTGACGTCTTCCGATTTTTTCCAGGGAATCAATATTGGCGAGTTTCTTAAGGATTTCGCTTTCTCTATGCTTTTCTCTTTGTCCTTCCAAGTCTTTCTCCTTCCCGTAAGTCTGATGTATTTCTTCTACTTTCGAGTTCGTTTCCTGCCGTGTCTGGCGTATTTCGTGGAGCTTCATGTTGCTATCTTGAATTGTCCTACGATCTTCTAGTTGTTTCTTAAGTAATTCGTTAACAGTTTGCTTTGTTTTGGTCTGGGCCTGTTGTACTTCGGTTAGAGATCGACACATGCCTCCAGCTGTAACTTAATATCAAGCTCACTGACATACTATTTGCATACAACATCAATATAGTCTTCCTCTCCACAATGCTCTTCCTTCAGTCTATCAATTTCTGCGTTATCTAACCCAAGACCACGAAGAGCACCACTAATTTTAGGCCAAAGAGCATTGAAAGTAGGTGTATTAATACCGGTAGTGGTAACATGACCGTACAACTCATTGCGAAAAAACTTTATGCGGAGCAGATTTGCCTCACGAGAGTGGTCCCTGGGGTGTGGTTTATGATTCCATTCTTCTTTTCCACCTGGAGGAGAAAGTCCACAAATGCTGGTCAGGAGGAGGAACAGAAGAGAGATGTCGAAATTCTTGGAATCTGGGATGGCTCCTCCAGTTGGGAACAGTTTGTACCACTGAAAATTATTTAAAAATTTTCTCATTTGAGAGCTTGTTCAGAGTTTTACGGTGCCTGTTGAGGTTTTCCTCCAGATTTGATGGGGGATGATAATGGTCAAAAAGGTTCCTAAGAACCGTTGTTCCGCCATCAATGAGAAGTCTGCTGAGCTTGGCTCCATTTGTCTTCTCCACAGAGCTAGCCGGAGGTGATGGTGTAGCAGTTGCCATCTCAAACCAAAGACAAGCCTTCAATCGTATCTGTGTGAAATAGACCTAGATTTACCTTATTTTTTCTCTCAAGTGGCCAATTGGTACATTTGATTAGTTGAACTCTCGGCTCTCGGTGGGGGTGGGCAGGGGAGAAGTTCAACAGCATAATACTTTGGGTAGCTGTTTCCAATCCCTTCATTCCAGGATACTTGTGCAGTGAAACTTAGCATTGGAGACTTCCGCTTAATACAAACACCCGCTTATTATGGACGGTTACATATACGTTTGTCCCGAAGAAAAATTCAAATTTCTTCCCTTACATTATCCCGCTTATTACGGTCAATGGACACTTTTCTGCGACGCGAGTGACACGCTTTTGTACATGTACAAATTGAGCCTCGGTTTAAGGACATTAGTTATCTTGTGCACTGTTTATGGGCTAATCGTACCGCCGGAAATGAAAGTTGCTGCAGGTTAACACGTTTTTCATCACTAATGACCACTAATAGCAAGACGTGTTTGAGACATGTCTTTCTTCTGAAGTTTGTTCCTTGCAAACATTGGCATGATACATAAATTTGACTATATTAATGAGAATTAGGCCCTCTTCATTTTGAACTTAAATTACAGCTGAGACGCAACACATTGTCCCGGTTCCCTTGAATTTTATGCAGTAATCTTTGTATCCATAAACATGTGCTTTTGACGCTTTTTTCTAACAGCCCGCTTGATATGGACACAAAGATAACACAGCAACTTTTGCTCAGTCTCTTTGGTGTGAGCTTGTTTCACGTACTGGATCACTGTCGATAAATCGATAATTAAGCCTTCGCCTTTAGATTCTAATTTATGAAGGATATCACTTGGATATCTTTCCTTGATTTTAGTATTCAAAGCAAAGCACTGTAACCGAGTTTACNACTCCTCGTCACTAACACACTTGCATTGAAGGTTTTCAATTAACGAGAGGTCACGAGTACATGGTTGTATTGTGTGGAGTGTTTTTCCAGAAACTACATCGAGGACGTAAAGGGCACCGTAAAATGCCCTGTATCCAGGAAGTACGAAATACTGTTCAGTAGGAGAAAATGTACAGCAAAGAGGAAAGCCAAAAAATTTGAAAGGCTGCGAAATCTTCCAGAGTACTTTGTCTCCACATTGCATCTGCAATTCCTCCTCAACAGAGGTTATCACCTGACATTTACTGTTACAAGCAACAAACATCCCATTAATGGGAATTTTTGACAGAATGCCTTCCCTACTAGTTGTATCCACAATGATGACTTTTTCCAATCCGTCACAGGCCACGCGTTCTTCTGATATGGGGATTACTTTAATGATGACCCCGAAGTCAGTCCAACGTCGGATGCACTCAGTCAACTCAAAATTCCACAGCTCAAGCGTGTCGTGACTGATCTCCAACAAAACACCTTCTCTTACAGCTACAAGATTATATTCATCGAGCTCACCAGTGTCTTCTAAAACTCTTTTCCCAGGTTTGAACATACCACTTGAAATGTCCCAAACCTTAAGTGTTGCTGGACTGCCACCTGTTGTAGTGATAACAAACAGCGCGTCACCATTCAATGATAATACGACATTCGTCACTGTAATCTTTGAAACTCCGGCACTGTCTTTTGACAGTTCATCAAACTGCAACATCTCTACGATGTAATCAGAATAAGAAACTCTCAATACAGATTGTTTATTCAGCACAAATGCAAGTCCTGGGAGCACGGTATATCTTTCAAATGAAGAGTAAAAAGGATCTCCTAATAAAAAGCCGGTCTCACCACACGATTCAAATTCCCACAGCTCATAAGACACTTTATTAGGCAAAACATCTAGAGAAAAGTTGGCGTCATTTTTCATGTCGACGTCTAAACGAAAGAGATCGCACCTTGCACTGTTGAAAACCAAGCAATAAAGGCATCGACAGTCAGGGGAGAACTTTATCATTCCGCATACTTCTGGAATAGTTGTCTGTGCTAGAGTTCTATAACCATCCATTACGTCAAGCAAACCAATCGAACCAGAAGGGTCAGAAATTGCTAACAGTCTTCCATCGCGAGACCAAGCAAAGGACACAATATCGTGACTCCATGTAAAACGACTTATCTCTGAACCATCTGTCAGACTCCACATGATAATTGATTTAGCATCATTGGTGCAATCAGTTAGCATCTCGGTCTTGTCTGCAGAAATTGAACAAACCGAAAAAAGGCACTCGCTCGAAAGAAAAAGAGGTTTCAGGTCCCCGTCAAACGTATAGGCATGGCTGAGGATTCCTGGTAAGACAAGGTCCTCTGTGGGATGAAACACTACTGAGCGGTATAATGACCTGGCATGATATGACAGGACTGGTCTATATGGTTCATAGTCATCATCATCATCATTACCAAACAACAATCTAGGTTTTCTACAGTACGAGTGGTAATATTTCTGAACCACGACATCTCGTTTCCATAGCTGCTTTCCAGTATGGAGCGACCATAGCTGTATCGTGTTATCTCTACATTCGCACACCATGTAGTCTAACTGCGGTGAAACATCAAAACAAGCTACGGCAGCTGAACATTCAAATTTGGCTTGAACACCCCCTTGCAGATCCTCCTTATGCAAGTATTCCATATACGCCATTTCAGAATATTTAATTTCTAAAAGGTGTGAAGCTTCAGATGACAGTTCAGGTCCCCCCTCGTTCAACAAGGTTTGGAAGATGTTGCGGGGAAACTTTTCTAATGTCCCAATATGCTTTCGTAACAAGACCAACAAAGTGTTAAGGGCCCTTTGAAGTTCTTCGATATCAACTTGCTTCTGGACGCAAAGAATGTCTTCAGAAGCTGCTGTAACATTTACACACAACTTTGCGTACACAAGCTCTACGTCCAAAACAAATTTCTTAACAACGTCCTCAAGGCTGCATACTCTCGCATCCTCTGTTTGTAGCATGTGTTGAACTCCATGTCGCAAAGCGTAATTTGTAGTGTCAGTGAACTGCACACAGTCAACGCCTTTTCGTTTCACCTGGTCAAGCTCATCAATGCAGAGCTTGGAAAGGACCTCATGGCCTTCTTTTTCGTCCACACTGAAGCAGTGCTGTTTGTAATTAGATTTTTCAATCAACCAGTCTTTAACCGACTTGTGAAAGAAGTGAATACAATCGTCTTGAACGGGTAGAAGTGCCGAGAAACAAGCAATAGCCACATTTACCTTTCGTTGAACCAATGATGTCGATCTACCTGGTAGCAACAATTTAGACACGAAACCGAGTGGCAATGGCTCTCTTGCAGCTGCGACG